CTTCCTCTTCTCTCTCTCTCTCTCTTTTTCTCTCTCTCTCTCTCTCTCTCTCTCTCTCTCTCTCGATAGTCCCTTGCGACTAACAATACCAGTGTTGACGTTCATTGCTACACGTACATGGCGACGGAATCCTATGGACACGTGACAAAACTATCCCGTGCCATTCTTCCCTTAGGTTGCTGCGCACGCCTGTGCGGCTCACGAGACCGCGCTCGCCGCGGAGTTGCTGGCTTCGATTCCCCGCAGGTCAGCGGGACCCTGGGGGACCAGTCGCCGGTCACCATCGGCGCAACCGCAGTCTGTCGCTGCCGCCGCGGCGGGTCACCGGGGTGAAGGCGGCGTCGCTGGCGTGTTTCGTGGCGGCGGCGGCGGCGGCGACTTGTTCGCGTTTCAGAGGGGGTTCTTGCTAGCCCGCGCCGAGCTGCTGCGGCTCCTGGGTGCCTGCTGGGGCATGTGCCAGGTGACAACGACGATGGGCGTGTGTCTGTTCTGGGAAGCCTTTCGTAGCCAGGGTGGTTTCGGGGGTTCGGTCAAGGAGGTGCGTTGGTTGTTGCCTGCGCCTCTTGATCGTTGGCGGGCACAACCACGCACGTGTTTTTGTTGCGTAGGTCGAGTACGCCGACGTGTGCTGTCCGCTCGTAGGGCATGCAGTAGGGGTGGGCTCAGCAGTCCCGGTTGAGCAGTGCGAATGCCGGTGTTTTCGGCGGGCACAGGTCATTCGGTACTTTTTTGGTGGTGCCGATGCCTCTGAATAGCGTGGTTTGTGTTCTGACGTGGCACATGCCGGCACAACAGAGGAGCCCCCCCCACGGTAGTTGGCGACGCAGCGCATCGCGAATGCCAGGTACTCTTGATGCAATAACCACTTTTGCATTGCTGAACCGTACTACGTTCCCCAATCGTTCCAATGTTTCTCATGTACCTGTTCTGTCCTACCCCCATCCCCCGCCGTCGCCTCTCCTCAATCCCAAGGACCTCTCGGCGACGCGGACCAACCGGTACGCCCGCAACAGCCGGAGGGAGGCGCGCTGCCGCCGCCTGCCCGCCGCCTTCCGCCGCCTGGCCAGGGACTTCCGCCTCCTTAGGGGTTTCGCCCCGGGTGCGGGGTCGACGACTTCGGAGCCCCTCCGAGCGGCGTCCTGCCTCTGCTTGTTCCTCGCCATCGCTGCGGACGCGCTGCTGAGCCAGGGGAAGTCGGTCTTTGTGGGATCGAGGGAGAAAGGTGTGTGTGTGTGTGTGTGTGTGTGTGTGTGTGTGCGTTTGGCGGCGGTGGTGGCCATTTATTGCTCCACGAAAGCTTGTGACATGTTTGTTTTGGAGATGGATGCGCGGGACAGAGGGTCCACGCAACGGATAGATCAGCTCCCTGTGGAGCCGCAGGCACTGCATGGGCGACCAAAGTTCGCCTGGTGGTGCAGTACAGACGGCAGCTTTGCTGCAGATCACGGGAGCTGTGTTTCCCTTCGAAAAATTGACCTTACGATGCTCCGCGAGCTCACCCATCTCTGAGGTGTGTTTCTCACAATTTTTACGGACGCGAGTGAAACTGAACGGAAGGTGGACGGCGCGCAGCAGCGGCGGCACCGGCTCCACCGTCGGCCAGCGTAGCCGAAAGATAAGCCATCACAAATATGCTGTGAACACACATCTACCCCCAACAGGCCACAAGGCCAACCGTGATCGCCGAATTCTACTTCACATACATGCTGCTGTGGACACGTCCCCCCCCTCAGGTACTGCTGTTGTTGTTTGTCCCCCCCCCATGACACGCAACATGTCGCCGCAATAACAGCCAACAACAAGAAGAAGACCTGGAGGGGCTGGCTGGAGCGATTGGTGGCCGCGGGGGCGCAAGAGGAGGAGGAGGATCGGGTCGGAGGCGGCGAGACTGAGGGCGCGCTGTTGAAGGCCGTGCGGTTGCTCGGCTCAAGGCTGCTTGGACTCTCGGACCCTCCAAAGGCCTCTATCGGGTAAGACTACTGCTGTTGGTGTTGTTGGTGTTGGTGTCGGTGGTGTGATTAGTCTTTGTCGAGTAACGGGTGCGTTCGCTGTTGCACCCTGGCTCTTGGCCCCCTATCGCCTAAAGTCATCCGTATACCGCTGTGGTCAGATTTATCGGAACGAACGGTCCGTCTACTACGGCCCAAAATGTGCCTGGCGCGTGCTCCCCCGTCCCCCCCGCGGGTAGCTGGACTCTCCAGTGTTCTTGTTCGTTGTTTGTTTCTTCGTTTCTTTGTTTCTTCGCTTGTTTCTGTGTTTCTTTCTTCTTCGGCACCCCCCGCCTTATTGACCCGTGCTTTTTGTTGTTGTTTTTTTCCTGTTGGTGCTTTTCAGCCGCGTGGCCTTCTCGAGCATCCTGGAGTCGGTGCGCGGTACCCCGTTCCCAATTCCGAGAGCGTTCTTCCGGACGGGGGTGTCCCCTCGAGTCGCCCTGTCGGCTCTTCCCCCCGCCCCGGCGGCCGGCCTGACGGGTCCGGATGACGTTGCCGCCGACGGCACCGGCAGTGCTCCGTGGGGAGGACAACCTCCGCCCCCCTCCAACCAGCACTCGTTTGACGATTTCCCGCCGCCTTTATCGTCATCGCCTGTTACGATGATGGCTACCGCCTACGAGCCGAGCGGCGGCGGTGGCATGAGCGTGGGGGAGAAGCGGCAGCGAAGGGACGGCGGCGCCGGGGCGAGGTACTACGGGCCGTCGTGCCGCCTTCGAGCCGACGTCGCAGAGGCCGAGCGCTCCCGCCGCCCCCGGTTGCCGCTGATATCCGCCGCCCCGGCCGTTTCGACAGCGGCGGGGTCGTCGCCTCCGCTGTCATACTCTTCGCGCCCCCCAAACTCCGGCGGCGGCGGTCCAAGAAGAAACCCGTCGTGCCTGTCCTTTTCGGCCTCCGAAGCTTGGTGGGCGCAGCTGGTGAGGGAGGAGGTGATGCTCGCTGCTGCTGCCCCTGCAGCCCCCAGCGGGCAGGCGGGTTTCGGCGCAAGCGGGATCTGGCGCGCGCATGCTGTCGGGCAGACGGGGGGGGCCGGGATGTGGCTGCTGCAGGGTACGGTGTGTCGGGGCAGGGGAACGGGTGGGGTCTTGCCCGCTGTATCCGAGGTAAGTTGGTTTCTTTGGTCGTGTGGTGTCGAGTTGTTGGTGGTAGCGTATGACCGACCGGATGCTGTGTTTTAGATATTAGTTTGTAGCGCCTCCTTGGTTCCTGCATCAGTGGGAGGAGCGTGCCGGTGCTGCATGCTGTATCTCTCCCTTAGTGTAGAGTAGCGGGTGTGGTAGAGGACTGAGATGCAGCGGATGAGACATGGTGGGGGGGTCAGACTTATAGGCAGCGCCTGCTTCCTCACCCGTTTCCAAAGGGAACCACTGCTGTGTGCCAGTATCGAGAAGGGGCGAGGTGACTCATAATTGTGCTGTGGCGGTCTTCGCTGTTGCCTGCAATCCACAGGTGGTCTTGAAGATTTCGGTCGAGCTGCCGCCTGCTGCTGTCGCAAGCGGGGGGGCTGCGGATTCGCTGAGAGCTCAGGGGGATCCAAAGCGGGAGATCTCCATGGCGACTAGAAAATGGTCCAAAGAGGTGCGAACACTTGAAAACAATCAACCTCTTGGTAACACGTAGACAGACTATGCTCGCCGGCCCATTTGGTCGCGAATAAACTCTCAAGGGTTATCTATCTGTCAGCTGTCCTCGTAAGCTTGGGGGGGCTTCTGCCGCGACGTCGGCCGCTCTTCTCTTTTGACGTCGTGCTGTTGACGAGTCGACGAGCTCGTGTGCAGTGCGCCGATGGGGTGGTCGCGTTGTGGCTTTCCGTGACTGCAGAAGAAGAACCGCGACACGTGCCAGGGTGCTGTCGGATACGGAACGCCTGAAGGAGAGCGATGAGCAACAGGGCATTTTCACCCTGTTCGCCACGGGCCGAGCACAGTTGATAACACTCTTTTTCGTCGGGTTCGCCCTCCGCCCCGATAACGCGCCGCGCTCGCTGCTTTAAAGCGGCCTGTGTTTGTGTCCATCCCAGCAGTGGAGGCCGATCGAGACACCTCTCCTGAGCCTTCGTCGAAACTCTCGACACTTGTAGACCGGGACCGGTTGTTCTGGCCTCTCGTCGTCGCGCATCCGTTCTCTCACCGAATGTTTTCTCCTGCCGATTCGTTTCGCTCTTTTTTTCTGCCTCGTTCGACAGACTGTTCGCGTAACCGCCGCGAATGGCCTCGCCAACGATGATGGCGCTAAGTCCTACGCCCGTCTGTACCTTCCTTGCGCGCAATATCCCCTTCCCTCGCAACCAACCCCCGTCCTCCCTACCGTTCTCTTCGTGTGGTGGCGAAGGTGGTCGCGGAATTGTTCGGCGCCCCGGCCGACTCCAGCACCGCCCTCTGCTTCCGCGCACAGGTTCACCTGCCTGCATGCTCACCACCGTCCCTGCCGGCCGCGCGCAACGGCGGCGGCAGTGCCGGCGGCGGTGGCGTGATGGAGGTGGCGGTGTGCCTGAGGAGCCGCGGGAAGCAGCAGCCCGACGAAAGGGCTAACGACACCGGCTTCGTGGCGTTAGGGAGCAGCAGCCGCGGCGGCGCCGACGCCCACCGAAGCGGCGGCGGCGAGAACGGGGAGAAGGAGGTGTGGGCGGTCGGGAAGGTCGCCGTTCCGTTGCCCCCAACGCCGACGTGGTGATGAAAAAATCCTTTTGAGAAAACAACTTTTCCCTGTCGTTTGTTCAACCGACTTGTTCAACCGGCTCTTGTTGGGGTAGATGTGCACCATAGTTTTTGCTTGCCGGGAGTGGGTCACCGGTGACAAATGTCTTTTGGGTCATGGAGGTGACGCCGGAAGCCCCAACGAGGGGTTGAGATCGGTGTGCGGACCAAGGTTGTTTTGTCGGTGTGAGCTTCACCTGTCTTGGACTGCTGTGAGCTAGAGGGTCGACTGCTTGCTTGGAGACAAGCGGGGTGAGGATCCATCCCCCCCCTTCAACAAACAATGAACAAGGGAGACAATCGTGCTTGACCACGGTCAACGCCCTGCTTGTGCGGAGTGCGCATGCGGAAGAGCGTGGCGCAGATGATGGGTTGGTAACCTACAGTACCACACCATTACGTTTCTTCACCGAGGGGTAATGGAAACACCCGCTCGCAGAATCCCCCACCAGCGAAAGCAACAAAGTAGCCAACAGTGCCATGAGCCGCGAAAGGTCAAAAACAGAGGAATTTTTCTGTAGTGGCTCTGGCGCACCGCCGCACCCGCTCTTCCTTTCCTCTCTTCATAGAAGACCTCTGAGCTGGGATGGGCAATTTGTCCCGAGACATTTTTTTCGTGACGGCGCTGGTGCCATCATCTCGGCAAGCAGGAACCTCGGTTCTACGTTTTTTTTGTTCCCACAAACGGAAAAACACGCCGTTGTTTCCTCAGGCTAGCCTCCCGCGCATGCATGTGGGCGATGAGACGATTTTCGAACACAGGCGGCAGACCCACCTGCAACTACATTCTACCGACCCCCCCCCCGTGTGTTCCGTGATATGACACAGAACGGCGACTACAACACGAACAAACTAAAAAGTCTACGGAGCGCTGGAGAACCAGAGGCTACCTGAGCGCGTTTACTCGAAAAAAAGAGACGGGGGTGCCACCTCCTCCCGCACATCCTTTCGCCCGAATCTTTTGTCACGGGGCACCGCCGCAGTTTCCATGCGCACAGGAACAAGCGTATCAGAACCTCGCCCCCCTCGGACGGGGACACGTCGGAACGACACCATCTTTATCTCTACCCAACAACACGTGACGGGCTGTGTGGCCAGCCAGCAATCAGCAAGAACTTTTCTACACAAAAAAAAACACTAAACGTTGGGCATGCCAGCCGTGTAGTCCCCCGTCTGCTGTTCTACAGTCCGGCCAAGCACCTCTATTCTTCGCGGAATACTGCTGTAGCGGTTCCTTTGCCCCCCTGGAGATGGCCCCCAGGCGAGCCGCTGTCATTCCGCCGTGCCCCCTGAGGCTAACTGAACCCACAGGACCCCTTGTTACGGCATTGGGGAAAAGGGCGGTGCATCCCGCACACATGGAAATGTTGAGAGGCAGAGTGCCATTGCATCGACCCTATTTCTTTGCCTTTGCACTAATTGTCTATATGTGGGCCGAGAGAAACTTGGAAGCCTCAGCTGGATCGCCCCCCCCAGCGCGCCTTCGACCCGGAGATACGGTACTGCTGGTAAGCAAGTCGCTCGACCTAGAGGTACGCGTTGAGGGTGTCGAACGCCTGGTCCAGCTTCTTCAACTTCTTGGTCAATACCTCCACCTGCGACGACGGCCAAAAAAAAAGGGGGGAGCATGTCAGTACGGCTGCCGAAGATGCCAATGAATGGGATACATCGCACGGATAGAGGCGAGAAAAGCGAAAAAAAACGAAAGCCATCGGCATAGGCGCCAACATGTGTACGAGTTTAATATTTTCATCAACGGTTCTTTTCCGGTTGATTGAACAATGAGGATTTTTCGCTCGTCGCACTCCGCACGATCATGCTGCATCGGTAAGCACGTCGCTTTTCAACCCGTGTCCCGCTCTCCCTGTTATCGTACAACTCGCACAACACACGACATAACACTGCCATCTCCGCCCACACACGGTGGTTTGAGCGTCGGCTCCCCGTCCTTCTCCCGTTGGCGGCACGGCTGTCGTTGAAACATTGCCAAACGCACCAGACACTATTTTCGTGCAGAGATTGAGTGGATGTGTACGCTCACGCAAAATCACACCGCCACCTGCCAACGACCTCAGTCGGGGGAAAACGCCCCTCTCGACAAGATTGACCCGTCCTCTCGAGGACGCGTGGTCCATGGTCTACACAGCTAAGTCACGCAAAACATGAGTACGACCTCCCGCCCCCGCCCACCGAAGATTGACAGACCAGCTACATGCCCCCATTCCATCGACAAACCTTGCGCGCGGACCGGGGGACGTCCGGCTTCATCTTGGAGGCCTGCGAAAGCTCCAGGGCATCCTGAAGCATGTTCCTGAGGAAAATTTCAGGAGATTTCACCCGGTAAAAAAACTCAGAAGGGCATGTAGTGAAAAGCGTAGTTTTCCGAGAACGAAGACATGTTGGTTTATTTACCGTACAATAGCGGCTACGGTTTAAGAGAGAATATTTTACGAAAAAGTACCGATTTGAGAGTCAAATTGCCTTGTCACGACCATCAGAGATACGTCATACATTTCACAGTACGGAAACGGAACGAAGAGAGAAATCCTGGCTTGTCCCAACTCTCTATGAAAGTATAGCCGCCACTGTAGTCGTTTTATCTACAGTCTGAGGAGTAATTTCGCCGTCCCCATCCTCTTGGCGTGTGGACGCGTACGAAAACAGCAAGTTCGACGTAAGCACGATGCCTAGACGGAATAACGCTTACCGGATGATGAGGTCGGTACCCCTCTGGGTGTCCTCGTCGAAGACGTCGTTCACCTCGTTGAGCACCTGGCGGAACTCGGCGAACTTGAAGGTCTGCTGGACCTTCGGCAACACGTTCGCCTGGGGGTCCTTGGCCTGCAAAAGTAGGGGCAAGGTACAATCAGATAGCGTAGGTGGATTCGATTGCAAGTTAGGTCGGAGATGGGTAGGGCTACGTCCTTGGCCTGCAGGTGGGGGTGAGAATCATAAGAGAGGGTGGGTGGGGTTACAAGTGAGGTCGAGAGGGTCAGGGCCAGCGCGCAATCTGGAAGCTCGAGACCCCGCACACGACAGGGCGCGGCATGGCAGTAGCGTCATATGGAGGAGACGGAATGACAAGGACAAGAAAAAATTGCGCAAACCGAAGAGCACACATGAAAAATACCGCAGGTGTGTGATAGTGCTGAATGAAAAACAACAGCGCCAAATAACACCCGTATCAACACGAACACCCAAAACGGAACAAAAGCTCTCACGCCAAACCTCTGCCATCTGCGGCACGACATCAAAGCTTACGCGCAAAAGCACCAGCACCGGCTACAACCAAATCGAAAACTCAAAATTTCTCATACCAGGGCGTCAGATATGTCCTTGGTGGCACTCTGGTAAGTCTTCAGTGCCGCGAGGTCCTTCTTCACCCCGTCCGACGCCATCTTGTTGGAGTCCTTCACTGCCGACCGCGGGTCCAGCACCTTGAGCGCAACACGTACCGGGGGGCGAGGGTACGCAGTTGTTGCTGACCTTGGTTGTTCGACCATGTAGGTACGTTATTATCGATATCGAAGACCATCGCGTCTACTGCTACGGATGGAAATCTCGCGAACAACCAGGCCTTGGTCTGCGGAGGGTAAGGAGCATGCTTGTCTCATCCTATCGCGTGCGTGCAAATGATACGTCAACAGACATTAGGGCATCCTTTGCGCAAGTTGTTGCATGTGCTGTCAGGAAATTACGCTACTAGGCAGCACCTTAAGTAGGTCGCGGAGCGGAATCGCAGGTGTTCGTTTTGGAGGAGACAATTGGCCAGCACACCGCCTAGATCTGACGGACAAGTAAACGTTTCAGCTGATACTGTTTCATGTGCGACGTTTCTGTGTATGTTGCTAAACTCTCGCTCGTTTACACAAGGTAGCTCTTGGTCACGCCTTGTGTTGGGTTGCTTCCGATGTAGATGCGCGAGAGAACTCCAGATACTGCAGCAGCAGACTGCCGCAGCATGAGCGATGACACCGAACTCCACCGGATAGGTCCATCGATATTTTCGGGCGGGGGGGGGG